TGAGTGATTTTCCAGTGGAAGAGAGATCCCAGTGCCTTAGCTGACCAGTCTTCACTGGCTAGGGATGAGCCCAACCAAGATCAACCCTCTGCTAGCTCAGGTGTTCTCCCGGCTGGGTGTTCAACCTGCCTTCCCGGCGGCACGTCACAAGAACAAGGGTGCTGTCCATGGAAGGGGACAGAGTCAAACCTGAGCAAAGGAAATGCTTTGTTCATGCAGTAGGTGCAGGTCATTCGACCATCAAACTCATTGCCACAGGGAGTCATCGAAGGCAGAGGTTTCAATAGTGACTATTTACATGGACTGGAAGGTTATTCAGGCTTATAACAACTAGTGCCAAACAGCAAGGATTTGGGGAAAGGCTAAAAATCTCCCGTTCCAGGCATTCAACCTGCTCTCTAGCCATTAGGATGAACCTTTGTAACAACAGATTTCCCTACAGCCACCTCCTGCGAGGTTCCTGCACTTTCATCTGAAGCCCCTGGAGTTGGCGGCTGTCAGACAGACAAGTGGGCCGGGTGGACCTGGGGTCTCATCCACTGTGTCCATTTCCAAATTCTTCTGCATGCCTTGTTAGAGCCCAGTGTTTCTCAACCTGGGGGTCATGACCCAAAAGTGGGTTGCAAGAATATATGGAAGGGCCGTGAACGAATTTAAGCAACAGATCAAACTTTTAAAAATGGATTCTCCTTTAAAGAAGAAAAACATGGGAAGCCGTGGCTTTTCCCTTGTAGGCTGGCAGGGGTCCAGCTTGCGAGGGGTTGCTTGGGGCCCTGCACGCACCCCTCTGCCCCACACACTAGGGCCTGGGGGGCAGCAGGTTCGGAGTGAGGGGCACTGGGTTGGGACAGGCCATCGATGTTTACAAATGGGTCCTGGTACAAAAAAAGTTGGGAACCACAGCGTTGGACAACATCAGCTCACGTCCACTGTCATCACTTCATCATCCCTTGATTCACTTTCAGCATTGGCTTTCTCGGTGCTTTACCCGTTAGGGGTTGAACCACAGATTCCCCTAAGTAATCTCCGCTACAGGACAATCGTGTCACGATGCCAGGCCGCTACCTGGATGCTGCAGCGAAGCAGCAGTGTGCTGGCAGCTCTTGGCAGCGTTCCCGCTCTGCGGTGGTGGGCCAAGCCCTGCGATTTCCCCAGTGCAGTGGTGGACCAAGGAAGCTGTTTCCCCCAGTGCAGTACTGAGCAGACCCCTCCATAACTCCCTGTTCCTCCAGTGTATCCCAGCTCATGATCCAAGCTATGCAGGACAACTTGTCGAACACTGACATCCGGGCCACTCTTTCAAGCTGAAGACAGCAGGTGAGGCAGCGGGCCAGGTACAACGGTTGAGACAAGGAGTCCAGCTCCCTCCTAGAGAGGCAGGTTGTTGTAGCTTCTCCAAGCCTGCCATGCCCCTTGACAAGCTGGGCCTGTCCGGCAGCCCAGCTGCAGGAGCTCTGCCTCTGCTAGGGCTTGCAGAAGAACTCAAGCTGCATTTTTATTCAGCCCTGGGTTTTCTCCCCATCACTGCTTCCACCCGCGCCCTTCCAGTTCATCCCAGTGGGCTCCCCCTCTCCCATTCCTGAGCTGGGGATATGCCTGGGCCCAGTATGAGGGGGCAATATTTGGTGTCAGACTTTCAGCTCCAAGAAGGTATCGACATCCAAGCCAGTTTTAGGGGGCGAAACCAGAGGCCAATTTTGGGCCCCACCAGGCTGAATTATCCCAAGTCACCCAGTGAGCAGATGGGTGGGGGAGAGGGCCCTTTGCCCAAATCCCCACTTATCTAACAGCATTTCTGGGTAAACCGGAGTTTTCCACTGAGTGCATTGAGGTCCCCGGGGAAAGATACTCCTATGTCCTTTCTGCTCGGGGTCCTACCTCTTGGCTCAGCGCTGAACTAACGCTCCTCTTGTCCTGTATCAAAGGGTCCTCGGGCCAATTCAGAGCAGATCGGCTGGAAGCATGGCTGGGGTGATAGTTATCTTCTGATTCCCAAACCAGATGAATAAATAAAGACAGTTGTTTAAGGCATCCTAGAGTCCTGCTGCTTCTCAAGCAGGCTCGGCCCCGGCTCCGTGCAGCCGTCCGAGCTGCTTGGCAAGGACTTCCCGGCAGATGGGAGTGTTTGCTTGAAGGATGGCAGCGTGCAGAGAGGGAGGGGAGGAGTGAAGGCGGCCAGAGAAACGGTGGGAAGCTGGAAGAATAAGAGAACATGCCTGCCTGCCAGAGGACTTGCCCTGCCCAGCGCCCGCTGTCTGTCTGTCCCTCAGTCTCTACTTAACCGGCTGGTTTTTATCTTGGCACCTGAGATGCTTCAAGAAGGGATGGATGCTCCGTGCCCCAGTGCTGGCTGTTTTACCGTGGGCAAAGCTGGAGCGATTCTTGATCCAAGTCCTGTCCGTGCCCTGAAGGCGGGGTGGGGGGCAGCACTGGCAGACAAGGTTCTGTGGGTAGATGTGATATTTTGTATTAGACCAACTCAATACTTGGGGAAATTGTTCTTTGCAAGCTTTTGTGCACAAACACCTTCAGGCATAGAGAGAGGTGGTGGGGACTTGCAGATTTGCTAAGGGGATTAGGGATAGCAACAGTCCCCCACCTGCCCTCTCCCTCGCAGAGGTCATTCATTGCTGTGGTATTGAGACCGTCCTTGTGAGGTTGCATTTCCCATCTCGTAGAATCATAGATCCAGTGAATCTCATAGTTCCGGTATAGCCTGTGATGCATGTGCAAGTTTCTCCCCAGAGATTTTGCCTTCATGTTCCTCTGTGCATTTGTGTTTGTGTTGTGGCAATGGCCAGAGGCCTTCCTTATTCGGGGAGCAGGGCTTCGCTGTGCCTTGGGCCATACAGATCCCCAGGAAGACACAGGCCCAGCCCTGGAGAGTTGTCCATCTCGAAGAGCAAGCTGCTGCTGGCCCGCGGCGTGTTAGTTGTGCGTCTATATACCAGTACTTCCCTTCACAAGGTTGCTTATATTCTGAATGCTGGGAAAAGGGGCTCTGGGGATCTTCAGGGAAGAAACGGGAGCGAGAAGAGAATCACTGCATTGAGAGATGAGTGTCAAAAAGCGGGCATGGAGGAGGGCGCTCTTACCCCTGCACCTATATCACGTGGTTCCTGGCTGTCCTGGCCATTGGGCCCCATTGAGAGAGCGGCACTGGAAGAAACACAGAAAGGTCTTGCTGTGGAAAGGGCCAGCCCTGCTCCCATGCTCCTGTTGCTTGTTAAGCAACAATGGCAAACACGGAGCAAGGGAGAAGATGAGGGCAAAGCCATTACCGTTGTTATTACCGGCTCAGCGTCTCCAAGACATTGGCAGAAACAAAGTCATTAAGTGGCTCGAATGGAGCTTTGCTCCATGCATGATTAAGCTGCTTGGAAGGGGAGGGGAGCTTGGAAGCAATCCGCCAGCTGCACCTGTAGTACAGGGGGCACCGATTCACGCTGAATTAAAACGAAATGAGTGGCAAATTTGAGGTCGTTCAGCCATGACCAAGGCATTTGTGTAGCTAAATGGGGCTGAAAGAGCTAATCAAGGTGTTTGGGATCATGGATTTCGCAGGGGCACAGGCCCGTGTGTGGCTGGGCGCAGGGGGATGTTGAAGGGCCCACGGGAAGCCGCATCTGAGTGCTGTGCAGGGGCAAGCCCTCAGGCCTGGGGTGATCAGGGCACCCCGATGTTATTTGGGCACCTCACTGGATCACTGCAGAGGCCTGGGGGCATGTAAGGCCCTCGTGGGGCCTTTTACCTCCATGCACGTTTTAACCCGAGTTCCTTAGGGCTGGCAGAGGGATCCTGAGCACTGAGCAAGCTCTGCTGCATGGAGGAGGCTGGACCTCGAGTGCCAGGTGTGAAGCATGGGAGCAGAGGGCAGCAGGCTGGGGGAGGCCTGGATCCGGGGGTGGGGTGTCTCTTCCTCTTTGCCAGCTCTTTCCAGCTCAGTCAAGGGAAGCATCAATTGTAACCCCACTGTACTACTGTGTAACAGAGAGCCTGGGGGGTCCGTGTTACCTGAAGGTAAAAACACCCCAGCCAGGGAGCTCTACAGGCTAGGCAGGGCAACAGGGCTAATGAGGCAATTAGCAACCAGCCCCGGTGCTCCCCTGACCAGAAGTAGGCAGAGCCCTGGGAGTACATACATCTGGGGTTTGGGTTGGCAAGCCAGGCTAGCCCTGCTCGCTGCAGGGTTAGGAGCTCCTGCCCAGGAGAGGCTCCTAGGGACATGGGTCCAATCACTTAGCCGCTTGTGGGAACACGGGGGCTCAGGGAGCTCACCAGGAGCCAGGCTGGGAGGTTTGCAAGCCCCAAGGTAAAGAAGGTTTGCCCTCCTCAAGGGACAGAGGGCTGCTTTCTCTGTTGCTGTTATGTTATAGCTCTGGGGCTTATGTTTACTTTACCATTTGTCCCGGCGGCTTAGGGTTGGGACTATAGGAGTGGCAGGAGGTCCCATTAGTACCCAAGGCACATGCAATCACCTTGAGCATTTATTGGGCCCATAGTGGGCCCAGAGTGCCTGGTGCAGCCAGATGGGGCCTGGTGATGGAAGGGACAAACAGAGCTAGAGCCAGCACAGTGAGCCTCTGGCTAGAAGGCCTAGCTGTATTAAAGGGGCAGAGGACAAGGAGGCTGAAGCCCTGGTAGAGGGAACAACATTTTCATTACACACACGAGGCATGGGGCGTGGTAAAGGGGAGGATTTGGAGCCATGCAATTAGTCCTTGAGGCTTGGGTTGCCCTTCAGTGGCACAGTTGCCCGTGAAGCTCAGCAAGGGGCCTGGGTGCAGGCACAGACCAGCGGGGTCCACTGGGACTGAGGCCCAGCGAAGGCCTGTGCGCAGCCTCCCTATATACGATAAATGACACCGATGCATGGCAAGAAAGACAGGAAGGCGCCCTGGGGCAGAGCAGGGCACAGTTACAGAGCCACCAAGGGCATCACAACCGCCCCCTGGGACCCAGGTGTGTTGCATGCTGCCAGAGCGGGGCTTCACCAGTCTCTGCCCATCATGCCAAGCTGCCAGGGGGTCTATGAGCTGGATCTGCCAAGTGCTGCAGTGACTGAACAGCCCCAGGGCCCAATCGCTGAGTGCCAGAGGCCTGTGCTCTGTCCCTTCTTCCCAGGCGCAGCCGGCAGGGACATGAGAAGCTGTGGCAGGTAGCCCAGCCCATGGCCTGCAGCTCGATGCCCAGACCTGAGGCCAGGTGGGAATGTTTCTAAGGCAAGCCCCAGTGGCTGCCACAGGCAGACACCGTGGCCAGAGGTACAGTTGCAGTACAGTGACTTATTGATCAGAGTTAACGCTACGGCTCTGACAACACCATTACCAACTTGGACTTCATGTTTAAATCATCACTCCAGCGGCTCAGAAACACGCAATCTTTTATTGAATGCATGCTCGGCGGCTCTTCCTGATCCCATCCCTCTGTGTGTTCCCTGTGGCGGTGCTGGGGGGGCCGGTGGAGAGCAGAGATGATGATTCTGGAGCTGTGTGGATGAGGGTCTCAGGCCTGGGCCAGCTGGCTGGAGAGGGCTCGCTGTACAGGGCTTGCCTCTTCAGGTCCTTCCACCTTGCAGCAGGCAGGGCAGTGGGTTTGACATGAGCATAGTAACAGGGCAGAGATTTTGCTGGGCAGAAACAGGTCTCGTGGCCAACAGGTGAGTGCACTTGGAGCTGGGAGTGGATAGCAGTGTGCAGCATCCGCGTGTGCATCTTTATTGCAGCCCTGACCAGGACTGAAATGTCACCTTAGTCTGAAAGGCTCAGCATTTCGTGTCTAAGGCACGGAGTCCTCCCGTCCCCCAACAACCCGCTTGCTATGAGCTCCGGTTGTGGGGACACTTGCAAGGTGTGCTGAGACCCAGCAAACCAAGGAAAATAGTTACTAGTGTACTGTGTTTCCTGGCTGCTGGCTAGGCTGTTGAGCAGAGATCTGTACTGGAAAATGAACGGGACCATTTCAGTTGTATTCCCAGCTCTGCCACAGACTTATTGTGTGATCTTGGTGCTGTCTCACTCTGCCTCAGTTTCCCGAGTCGTACAATGCAACCCAGCCAGGGAAGCGATTCCACCCTGTGCGGTATCAATTCTGATGCCACCCTGCACCCTCCACCCCTTCATATCTTGGCACCTCCTGCAGCTGTGAGATGCACTGTAGTTTTTCGGTCCATTCCCTTGTCCCATGGGGGTGTTGCCTGGGCAGCGGGGTGTTTTTGCAAGGGGATGTTTTGCTTTTCAGTCTGTCCGTGCTGCTCTGTGCTTAGGTTGAGGCTGAGGAAGTGGTCCTGGCACCTGGAGCAAAAGTGGCAAGGTTTGTGAGGGGCCCTCGATCTTGGTGGTGTCTGCTCCGTGGTATGGCTCCAGCTCCTGGAGAAAGCACTGTCTCCTTCCCAGAGGCTCTTGGCCCCGTGCTGGACAGCTTTCCTGGGCCTGAGAAGCAGAGCTGCTGGCTGCAGTAGGTATTGCTGAGCTAGCAGCCCTCTAGGATCCTCCTGGCAGCCTTGGAGACCCTGCAGAGCCTTTGACTTCTTCTGGAGGCCAGCGTGGGGAGCAGGGCAGTGTGACCTCCTCTACAGCCTATGTCACTGAGACCTGTGCGAGGTTTGGAGGCCTGCGCCTCCTTTGGTTTCCCTTTGGCTGCCAGATGGCGCTGCGGGCCCAGCTCTGAGAGCCTTCTGCATCCCTGGCCTTTCGGCTCTCAGCTCCCATCCCAAGCCTCAGGCTTTTCTCCCTGCACAGACACTGCTAACCTACAGGCACCTGGCTTGGAGACCCTGCCAGCCTGCAGCCCTGGAACAGCTCCCTGGGACCCTGCATGAGCTGTCAGCCCCCTGCATCCAGGGGAAGGGTCTGGGAGGACAGGACTGAGCGCTGGGGCCCTGAAGAGACTGGACTCATGCTCTCCAGCAGACTGGACCTCCTCAACATCTGGAGGAGCTGCTGTGAGCTGGTCCTTGAGCATGAGGGACACAAGGGAACATCAAGCGTTTGACATCCAGGA